GTAGTAGTAGTAGCAGTAGTCGTCACTACAGTAGTCGATGTCGAAATGGTCATGGTCGAGGTCTTGGCAGTGGCAGTGGCAGCAGCAAGAGTAGTAGTCGGAAATAGGAAGGGTAGTAGCAAAGGTACTCACAAGAATTGCCGAGATCTGCAGCAGTCATTTCCGTAGTGGCAGTCGTCGCCGTTTTCGTCGTTGTTGCTGTGGTGGCGGCGGCGGTGGTGGTGGTGGTGCCGGCGGCTACTTTTACTGCGACCACGATGACCATCACGATTCTCTTCCTCCAACCCTTCTCATGTACCACTTCAACCCGGCCGATGGTTTGGACGCAAGCTTACCAGGTAAAGCCAAACAGCCGTAGCCGAAAAAGCCGTCGTGATGGCCGTGGTTCGCGAAGGTGAGGCGGTGGTAATGAAGGCGGCATTGGTGGCGGGAGCAGTAGAGGCAGCCGCGTGAGGAGCAGCTCTCGATTGAGTCAGCCATAAGCAAGGCGGTGATGCACTGAGCCGCGGAAAGAGTTTGAAGCAATGGCCTCCATCACATCCAGGGCTTCGATATCTGCCAATTTGGTGTCCTCCTCGAAAGGTCGCATGACGTGACGTAATGTGCGACAGATACGTGAAACTCAAATGTTGCCCTGAACAGTTGGGCCAACCTGCTTCAGAACAGCTGCAGTAGCGACAGCCCGAACCAACACCGATGGCATGCAAACACCATGCACAACTTCGTGAGCCGACAGCAACATGCCTCATGAAATCGTGGGCATGCTGATCCGTGACCTGCGGCCAATTTGCCAATGCCAACCCTGAGCTACCCTCTCCCCGCGCTATTTCGATATCGATGTCAACACCTGCCAAGCACGAGAGTAAAGTCGAGTTCTTTCGACTCTGGCTCCCCGAATCGCACCTGCTTCTGGCAACCCGCGACCGAAAACTAAGAAAACTGTCCCTTCCACCATTGCTGGACTCGTCCTTCCGAGGCAAGCCGCCGTGTGTCACGAACACATCGTTGTTGACAACGTGTGACAGGGGCAGGTTCCTTGATGGGGCATACTTGCAATGAATTTTAAGCAATCTAAGCTTTTGGCCAAACCATTACGACATTACGACTTCAGCTTACAAAAAACAGCAGAGAAGATCTTCTCCTAGTTTCTAGTAGCTAGTTGTTACTCCCCATTCGGCACTTCCCACCTACCTATATCATTGAGTTCAACTCACACTGTCATCTACTATAGCTGGCAGAACCAAACCCGTCGTTGCCAGCATCCATGGTGCCGGGCTAGTCCGACATGTATTGATAGTGCTCGAGCTGTTGGGGGGATCGCGGAATGTCCATGCTAAGAAGCATGGCAGCACGCCCCTGAGGAGCCTGACCTTCCGAAAATCCGGTACATGTGTACACATGCACACGCATATGTAGATGTGTATATGTATGTAACAGTATGTATGTGTATATAGATATAGATACCTACACATACATATATACATATACATATATACATATACATATATATACATATATATATATATATGTTGTACGTAAAAAGGTGTATATATACACACATCAACACGTCGCCATTCCAAACATCGCAGCAAAACCGAAACGGACACGACTTCACAACCTTCAAGCATGAGCACAGCAACAAGGCCTAAATCTCAACAACTGCGAATTCAAAACATGCCAAGCCTGTTGTATCGGGGCTTGTGCAACTGCGCAACCTGAAAACAAAAACCCGACAACCATGAAGTTGCAAGCGAAAACTCAACACCCTGCAGCCCGAATCCTAGTTCAGTGAAACGGCAAGGCCTAATCCCCAAACCACGAAGCCACCAAAAGCCCCAAGCCACAAGCCTACTCCAGGAGTTCGTCAAAGGCACAGGAAGACCCGTTGAAAGGCGGCCCAAACAGCCAGCTGCGCCCTGTACCTTGGGGTTAAGGAACTCGCCCCGATCACCCCAAATCCAAATCCTAAACTAAACCGTAGGGCTCAGGGTTTTGTGGTCAATGCAGCGTAGAACCTGCCACTGACTCCCGGTAAGGCCCTCAACCGCCATGACTGAAATATAATGTTGAGGCCTTGGGTGTGCTAAACGTTAATAATGCTAGGTTTATAAAGGGGCTATTACAAATTATTCCGACCCCGATATTATGTCCCAAGACGCCCTGCTGTGCGCTGCTGGATTGTTAACTATCCGATCCAAGCATATCAACGGTGCTGTGGCAGCATTGGCCCCATCATTTTCAAAAACAAAGATTGTAGCGGCATTCATGATAAGTGCAAGACGAGCGACTTGGCCAAAACTTCGCCCGTGAAGCCATAGTTAAAGTTCATGTCAGCGTCCTGGTCGACCGGGCTCGCCCGCCAAAACTGCAAAAGCCAAGCACAAGCAAAGAAAACAGTCTGCCCCCTTCTGGTTTTGCGTTCCGCTTACATCTTTGCCACTTCGTTCGGCATTATGTCTTCCTTAAGGCATCTAACTGTCTAAACGAGGTCTCCTGAACTCATCTGCCACTGCCTCCGAACATGCAGCTGTAGTTTCCCAACTGAGAGCCTCGCGGCCGAAGTAGGCCTGTGTTTACTGATTCAGGGCATGCAGAGTTCTATGGAGGCTCGCGACAATCACCGAAGATGCCCCTGCCCCGAAAGGTTCTTCGTCCTCATGATTTCCACGTGCCAGGTGCATGTGCTCTGGATAGGCGAGCTTCCAAGCCAGCAATATCCTGAGACCATTCGAGACGTGGATAGCTTTGGCTTAGTGGCCCTACTTGTCGAGTACCATTCTCCATACTGCTTGTGACGAATAAAGTCTGACAAGCATCACTCATTGCACTGGCATTGGTCAGTGTACATCAAAACTGAAAGGATTCATTGCCAGGTGGCACCATGATCTCGACAGAGTACGACCTCGGAGGATGGAGCGGCTGTGGATGACACAGGCACACGAAGACTGCGGAGACGGAGCCCTTCGCCTACAAACAACTCTATAGGGCCTCATTAAACAAGTATGAGAAGCAGCCCGAAGCCGTGAGCCCCTAGGTTTCGATGGGCCATGGGCTCTGAGAGCCAGGCCCGCGATCAACGAAGTCTCCATTGAACAGGAAGGGGTTCTCTTCACCTCTGGGGCAAGAAACACGCTTGTCTCGGACGGGAACACTTAGATTTTGATTTAGATTTAAACTAACCAAGCATAGTGTCAGGAGGTTCCGCATGAACACCTCTCCGCAAACCCGCTCCATGCTTTCACGGCTTGAGTGGCATGGGGTGTAGACATGCTGCTCAATTTCCCTCGGCTAACAGAGAGGTTGTTCATGAATCCTGTTAGTTGTGGCAAAGCTTCTTAATTAGTTTCCTCAGAAGACAGACCCCCACACCATCTTCTGGTGTGCGAACGACTGGCTGGGCAAGCCATGCCGGTCGCAGATGGACAAGAAATCGAAAAGCTGCCCATGGACCTCAGCATCAAGCAACGTTGCGTGGTGCTCTCGCTGCTGGGGCGGTGAAGTGTCGGGGTGGTGATCTCGACGGAAGAAGCCACACAATTGACGTTTCAATTGCGCATAAAATATAATGCGGCTTTGCACGACTTGGCATATGCTGTTTTGTCCGCATTACTTCAGCACCGAAGAATGGTTTTGCTATGTTTCGCTTCAGATGCAACGTCAAACAAATATTCCCCGCGAAAAGAACGCCGAACGCCTTTAACCGGCACTCCTTGTTTCGATGAATTTTATGTGTCCCCCACCAGCCCAGGCACATCTCCCACCACGTTGAGATGTTCGCCTTTGGGCACCTGCTTTCAGTTTGTAGGATCTGGTCAGGCTTCAGAAGCATGCATCTTTTCGGAGAACGGCAGAGTGCTGACGTCCAAGATATAGTAAGTACTGGTTCAGCCACAAGTTTCGAGACAACCAAAGACTCCTAAACTTACGATGAGAGTGCTATGGAGGCAAGCATGCTCCTGGAGGGTGAAGTGATGCCTGGTGGGTAATTAAGGTAATGCTGCTTTTGATCAAGGTTTCGGGCCGGGATATGCCGGGATGGGCTGGGCTATAGGTCAGAATATTTTTGGGAGGCTGGCTACCACTCAGACGAGCCAACCATCGAAAGCCTCGACGTACACCAGGGCCTTCTGCTGGGTGAAAAACCTGAGTTCTTGAGTGCTATACAGCTCAAGTGTTGTGCAGGGTTGGAAGGCACAAGTGAAGGGTCACAAATTGTGGCCCGAACGTCTCTGCATCCTGCAACAACGCCATCAGGTCGCCAATGGGCAGTTGACCACCTGCAGCTCAATACATTCTAACCAGTACACTACATCTATAAACTGAACCATCTGTCTCCGACTGGGGACGGAGCACAGGCGAGTCTGTCCAAGGAGCATCTCGCACCGGCAATCCAGCAAGACAGACCCACATTACACCTGTAGTGCTGACACCAACCTGTTTCAACACACAAGCTACGAAACTGCGGTAAAACAGTGCATCATAAACGAAAGCGGAGATATGTGCAGCTAAGTTCAACCTTTGTGGACATCATGCTGTGCATCTTACATCCCAGATGTATCAAGGCCGCGGGAATCTTCCTTGCTTACCCCACACACCGACAGATTCTGACACCTATGCCACCAAAACGGATCCGATCCTGGGTGCCAGCGACTCGGCCCTCGAAAAGCCTACACATCTAAAACATGTAACTCATATAACCCCTTCAAGTCAGCGTAGGCATCCGGCCTGTGCGATAGAAGTCCTGCAGCTGCTCTGCAAACTCGCGCATCTTCTCGCGATCAGCCGCCCTGATGTTGCTTGACAGTCGAGCATACATTACAAAGCAGCTTGAGCCTGCACCAAAGCATGAGCTATTGAATACATCTCATTGATACATCTCCTAAACAAAAGAAGTTATTGCTTGACAGGAGTCAAAATAATCTTTCATGCTGAAGGGTTGTGCTTGCCGGATGACAGGTCACTAACTCTGAAAGCAGTGAAGCTCCAGGCGTATTCAGATCCGCCCACAATGACGCGACTCATATTCAGGTCCCCTCTCCTATGCGATTTTGTTGCCTGGACAGATGAGGCTTGAAACGACCATCTCCACAGTCAACCTTCTACCTACTGAGTTCTACCATCCCCACAGCCTCGCCTTAACTCCTAAAGCCGGGGTCACCTTTGTTTTCGCATCTAACAACTGCAACACAACAAGGCTACGGGATTCCCGAGAGGAGCGCATTTCCAACCCTCAGTCAAGTCGAGGCACCCGGGGTATTTTGGCACTGGCACGTCCGGCCCACCTCAGTGCTGCCGATTTCAAAGTCAGTAGGAATCATCGCAATCTCACGAAAGGAGGCAGTCACGGACCAACCAGATGTGGAGTGGCTTCGATCCCAATTTTTCCGTTCAATCAAGAGCAACAGGGTGCAGGTACCGGAGATCATTCAAGCTCGACCTCTGAACCGAGGAACCGCGCTGCATGTAGAATCCGAGTTACTTTCAACACTTCGCCGCCGGAGCAGTCGCTTTCGTGCTCCTGAAGAGTACATACAATGACAAACGGAAGCAGAGATGCAAAGCGCCTGAAGCTTGCAGCGAGCCGGAGACTCCATCGCAGAACCAGAGAATTCCAAACTTTCGCCGGATGCACTATTGTCTATCAATTGGCTACATTGTGACAACAGCCACGTGCTTAAGTCTAAAAGCCGTCTTTGACCAGGCCTCCGATCCTAAGAAAAGCGCGATGGCTGCATCCGGACCCGAATTGCTCAAGCTCCTCCGGCAAGTCGGGCGGTGGCAGAAAGAACCACCAGGGCGCCGAACGCCGACCTGGTGAACGGCAGCACTGAGCAGTCGAGTGGGATGGCCCTGTTGGTGGATATGTCTTGTGATGATTGTGATGTTGCTGGGTCTGCTGCTGCGCGGTAGGATCACAAAACTGTGCCTGCTGATCTCTGTCACTGCACTCGGCTTGAATGACTAGCAAAACTCTGCCTCAGGGTTCCTGATTATGAGGATGGTATAGAAAGTACTTAGAAACTACAAAACCCTATCGTTAAGGAACCCACTCACAAAGTCTAATTCTGCTGCCTCTTTGGGACTGAAGCCCTTCCTTCATCAGACCTCACGACTTCGCGTGCGGAGTGCTTGCCACCAAGGATCCCCCCGAGCCCCCAACGTTGCAAGCTGGACATTTCAATTTCAGGGTTTGCGCTCTAAAAACGCGGCGCAGCAAGATGAGGGCTCTCAGTTCGCAGAGTGTTTTGGGATTCTGTTTGAGGTCAGGATGTCATGTGCTTTCAGTGTAGAGGTCTCTGGTGAGCCTTATCTAAAACATTGACATTGCCTACTTGACTAGTTAACGCATAGAGGGCCCTCATCACATCAGATCCATCAGAAAGCTGGGAACCCGCACGAAGCGATGGTGGCCGCTGACGCCTCTTGCAGGGAATCGCACTGAAGCTTACAGCACGGTACTTCACTTGTGGCCGTAGGTAAAGTCTCCTAGTTAGACGTCACGCCTGTGAGCCCGAGCTGCTTCTACTAAGTGCCACCTAGCGTCGCGTCGTGCTGCACCTCTTCCGCGAACTGCTCCGGGAGTAGACTGCAGCAGTGGGCGTCCTTGCACCTGCCAGCCGACTGTGCTCAACGGACTTTACCCTTTCACGTTCGCTACAATTTACCTCGTCTGCCGAGTTGTGCTGTTATCAGTTGCGTCCACCATCCGATGAGGCACCAAGCCCCCTGCAGCTTTGAACAGAGATTGTGCAGTAAAAATGGCATCGACCGTGGCCTGTACCCGAGGCACACTACGGGCAGCGCACGAAGGGCTTGCGAACGCGATCATTGCATCCATGGCTGCGTCTAGGAATCAGAGTTATAGGGGCCTTGCAACAAATCCAGGAAAAAAAACAGGTTATCGCGACTACAACTTGACGCTCGGTCTTCGAAGATGCCACGTGCCTTCCGAAGATGTGTGTGGACTGCCATGGTATGAGCTTGCGTGCGTTGCTTCGTCAATCAGCCACCAGCGGAGTCAGCAACGTTTGACAAGCAGCAGCTTGTCTTTTGTCCAACGAGAACAGTCTCATGACGCGGCGCAACCTCAAACCATATGCGCATAAATATAAACATAAATATAAACAAATAAATAAACAAATAAATGAATATATATATATATGTATATATGTATGCATGTATGTATGTATGCGTGAATGTACAGATACATTCTACTCTATGTTATGTGTTAGTATGTATGTATGTATATATATATATCTATTATGAGAATGAGATGTACAAGTTTCGTAAATACACGTGCGCTTATGCGCAGGCATGTATGCATGAAACTAGACTGGACGAGTGCTGGATAGGCTGGAAATACTCAGTAGAACCAAACCCCACAGTTGCTAGAACAGGTTCGCAGCAGAACGGCACAGATTCAGATAAGGATAGGCAATAGCACACTTTGTTACTCTCTTGTCGACCTGTCTACCTGCAACCAAGGCTGGGCGGCTAAACAACACGTGGATGCCACGCATTACCCAAAAAAGCAATGTAAGCTGGAGCGGTTCCGGGTTGTCAGCTAGTCTTCGCGGAAATCTCAACGCCTTTCGACTCGGCCCGGGGAACACCGGAGAAAACAAGTGCTGGTCGGACAGTTTCTTCTCGACATGACAACTCCTCGACCGTACTCTTCAAGAAGACTCACATTCGAATCTCGCATCATGGCATTGATGGCATGTTGGCATAAAGACGAAAGCCAAAGCCTTCAGACAGAACGCAAGCCAATCCCGACAAAGCAGGCCACCACTCGCAGCTGAGCTCTCTGCGCTTCACAGCGGTGTCGCAAGTGCGAGGCCTTGGCGATACACAGGCAAACCAAGGCTGTTGCTGCAACTTGTTGAGGCTTGTGGCTCGCGCTGCTTCGCCACTTTTTCGGCCCAGGACTCTGCTCTACAGGTTCATTTGGAGCCCCCCCGCTTTGAATTGAATGTGTGTGAGCATCTCTCGGTCTTTCTGTCTCTTGTGTCCGCCTGTGTGCGTCTTTCTCACTCTCCCTGCGTGCTTTGTTGGTCCACCTCTGTGTCGATTTCCTTTCCCTCCCACATCCGTCTATGACTCTCTGTCTGTCCGTGTGTGTGCGTGTCGGTCTGTCTGTGTCTGTGTGTCTGTTTGCCTCTTGTGTGTGTGTGTGCGCGCGCGGGTGTGTGTGTGTGTGTGTGTGTGTGTGTGTGTGTGTGTGTGTGGGGGTGGGTGGGTGGGTGGGTGGGTGTGGGTGGGTGGGTGGGGGGATGGGGGGTGGGGGGGGGGGGGG